TGTGACTTGTTGCATTTATTAATTGGTAAATTTAAATTCAGCATAAACACATATTCCCCTCCCTCTAGGTGTTAGTTGAGTCGAATTTCGTTATTTCACACATAATCTTTCATAAAATATTGTCATACGTAAATCGATTTTTTTTTCAACTACATATTTTTCAAAAAGACACTACTTCAAAAATTATAATTACAAATAATGGGACCGAACGTTAAATAAATATGATTTGGCCTTGTCAAAGATATAAATATAAAATATATTCTCGTGATTCATGTTGGACCAACGTGATCATCATGTAAAGCTGATTGATCGAAAAATTCCTCAAACTGCAAAATCACATTATTTACCTTGAGTACTTGGCTCTATATTCTCTGTCATATTACGCTTTTTCTCTTTAATATTTGAATATGTCCCACAAACAAATGACTTTTCTCCATATACGACTCCTTATGATAGTGGAAAGCTTCTCTGTAATGCTTTTGTGATAAGAAAAGGCAAATGACAAAATACACAAGGTGTGATGGATTACAAGATTAGAATCCTATGCTAAATGCCAAGTGAATAACACTAGCAAGTTGCATGGACTTTTAATCCCTAGAACATGTTTGGGTTTACTTTTAAATTTGTAAGTGTTTTCCAAATAAGTATTTTTATTTTATTTTATTGATAGAGTAAGCTCTTGTTTGGTGGATATTAAAATCAGATTTTTAGTAAATTTTGATAGAAGTGGATGAAACGTGTGGTTGAAAAGTTATGAGACCCATAAAATATGTGGTTGATATGAATTGATGACTTGGACTTAAATTAAAATTTAGATTTTAATTAATACCAAACAGGGACTAAGTAAGTCAATTATTTTCTTAGTAATATGTTTTTACTTAAGGAGCATAAACCAATAATACAAACTAGACCCTTATTTTGTAGATATTAAAATCAAATTTTTAGCAGATTTTGACAAAATTTGATAAAATGTAGGGAAAATTGCAGAGCGATCCCTAACCTTTCCATTTTTTGTAAACTTTACTCTAGCATTTATTTTATGCTAGAGGAGGTTCCTAACATTTCATAAATATGCAGTTGGGGTCCCTTAGGACAAAAACTATCCAAAATACTGTCATTTTACTTGAAAATTTAAAAAATCAGGTATATTAACCATTTTAAGATGGGCAATTTCGCCCAATCAATATTTCTCACTTGAGTTAAAAATTGAAAAGTAACCAATTTTTTCTCACTCACATATTCACGTGACATAAAGAGTAAGAGAAACGATCATCTTCTATAATATCTGGTGAAGAAAGCCATGAATCTGATCACAATGTTGAAGATTTTGCAAGAAAGGGTATGAACCTCCCACAGGTACAAAAATTGCAAGAGAAATACTGATTGGACGAAATTGTCCCTCCTTAAAAGGATTAATGTACCTGAAATTTTTATTTTCCAAGTCAACTGACAGTGTTTTGGAAGGTTTCCATCCAAGGGGGCCCCAACTGCATATTTATGAAAGGTCTGTGACATCCTCTAGTACAAAATGAAGGTTATGATAAAGTCTGCAAAAAATGAAAAGGTTAGGGACCAATGCTACAATTTTTCCTAAAATGTATGCTTGAAAAGTTGTAAGTTCTATGAAGTGTGTGGTTAAAGTTAATTGTTAACTTTGACTTGTATTTTAATAAGATTTTTTAGCAATGCCAAACAACATCTATCTTAAACCATGTTTGGTTTTTATTATCATTATATTTATTCATTTCTACCCAAACCGTTTCTGTCTCTGCCTCAACAACCCATATAGAAATAACCTAAAGAGTTTATAATGCTTTTTTATTGTCCTAACATTCACAATCTGTCCAATTGTGCTGTGTAATTTTTGAATATCAAACAATTCTCGGCAAAAATTTATTTTAATGTGGCCATTTATTCCTCTTCTGCAATCAATTTAACAACGCCACTAGCTACTATAACTACCTTGGGCCAGATTTTACATGAATGCAGAAATAATGGTGATTGTTAAAAGTATAGTGCCGATTGAATTAGTTTGTGGAATGTTATAAAACCTACACAAGAAGCTCTAAGAAACTTTATTATTAAATTATAAATGAGTGAATGTCAATTATAATTAATAGATTTAGGCATTTGTTAAATTAGATAAGGGGACGTTCACTTAATTTAAGGCTCCGTTTGATACACCATATTTTTCATGGAAAAATTAATTTTTTTCATTTTCCAACTTTTGTAGTGTTTGATATGCAAAATTTTCCCGGAAAAATGTTTTTCAACTTTCCAAATTTTCCACATTTTTGAGGAAAACAAATTTTTGATATTTTAGTTAGTAAATATTTTTCAGTTTTTTTTTTCGGCAATTGGAAAAAATTCTAGACACAATGGTAAAAAAATTTATCACTTTTATTGACAATTTTCATGCAAAACAAAGTCAAACGAATGGTATTCGGTATGATAATTTTTTTTATTATTTTTTTTGGCAATTGGAATAAATTTTAGATCCAAGGGTAAACCTTTTGTTTTAGTGGGAATCTGATTTTTCATCTTTTTTTTTTGGCAATTGGAAAAAATTCTAGATACAATGGTAAAAAAAATTATCACTTTTATTGACAATTTTCATGCAAAATAAAGCCAAACGAATGGTATTCGGTACGGTAATTTTTATTTTTTTTTGACAATTGGAATAAATTCTAGACCCAATGGTAGAAAAAATTATCACTTTAATGGCAATTTCCATAAAAAAAAGAAGTCAAACAGACACAAAACTTTCAACATTTTCCATGAAAAATTATACCAATCAAACACAATTAATTAAAATTCCCAATAAAACAATTTTTAGACAAATTAATTCTCTATAAAATATTTTCTTTCTGCCCATTTTTCACATTTGCAATCAAACGTACCTATGTGAATTGACAAACAAGAAGTTACTATTTTTTTTACATGCAATTATTGGAGTTGACACGTGAGAAGGAATTTTAAAATGCTTGGCAATTTCAATTTCCAACCGTACATTGGGGGTTTAATTTTTAAGGTTAGTTTCCATTTCAAATGTTAACCAATAATTTCGAAAAATATTTATACTAGAATAACGTGGATAAAAATGATCTACTAATTATGTATTTTTAGCTATGATNTTCCATTCTAGATCAATAAATTAGGTCCCAGCTCAACATTTAAAAAGAGGGGGGGTGGGGGGTGGGGGGGGTTATCCCGGTACAATTAACTTATGAATTGTAATTTCAAAGAGTCTTCTGGGTTCAAGAGGCAAGCCCTAATACGTGCTAATTGTACAACGGGTGGATTTCTTATCAAGAAATTTTTCATTGCTCTACATCATTTTCTTTATCATCTTCCCCTCCCCATTTTTTGATCCTTTGTGTTGCAACAGAAGCCTGCATTGTAACCCAAAATAGATTTCATATAGTCGACTCTCAATTTTTTAAATATAATCTTAGTCATCGAGTAGTAGTAAATAGATATTAATTAGAAAAAAAATGCAAAAAAAAAAGGGTATAAAATTATACAAACCTCTTTATTCCAGTTAGTTCTGTAAACGAGATAAAAGAGAACAAGAGTTTGCAGTATTGTTCCCATTGTCATTCCAGACCAGATGCCCTGAAAATCATCAGTATAAAATCTAGGGTTAAGATGTAAATGAATTCGGATTGTAGAATTATATTTGATAAAGGTACTTACTTGAACACCCCAATTGACTTTATACCCTAATACGAGCCCCAAAGGAAGGCCAAATATGTAATAGCATGCAATATTCACATAAGCAACTAAAGCTTGCCATCCAGCTCCAATGGCCACTCCTGCGCCCAATATGTTTAGTTAATTAATAAATGCATATTTAGTTGACAACCTTTTTAAGTTTATCGAATTACATAAATGTGCTTATCTAGGATTCGAACTCTATAGTCGAGTTCTATACGTGTTACCTACAAATTGAGTTATCAAATCAATATATTATTCTTTTTTAATCATGTTCAATTGTTTTTCGTGCATAAAAATACCTAAAACTAAGGCGTGGAGAATATTTTATTGTAATACTCAAGTCAAACTAGTCAAATAAAATAAAATTAAAATAAGAGATAGAAAGTAAATATTTGTCAAGTAGTAACAACTAAAAAAGGGAAAAAAAGAAAAAATAAAGTAAAACTAAGTGAACAAGTCTTTTTTAATTAAGATAGACTTATGATGAGATAACATAGAGAGAAAAATGAAACAAACAAAAAAATAAAGAAGAGAAAGCCAAAATAAAGCTTGAAAAAAAAAAGTAAGAAGCTGAAAAATGAAAGAGAGAAGACAACATTATAAACTTTGACATGCCTTCATTTTAATTGTTAGATATAACAATATCAATTTTCTATTGTGGAACCAGTTATAACAATAGAAAGGGCAAATATAGAAGAAAAAAATTAGAAAATTTTTGTGGGGTCAGTTGACCCCATGTGGGTCCGCCTATGGCTAGAGGTAATTTTCTTTGAAACTCGTATACATGAAAAGTAATATAAATAAACTTTCAATATGTTACTCTTGTGACAAACCTAATCACAAGAAATGTAGAAAGAATATATAAATTACGATGTACCTGATAGAGCGGGTTGAATAGCATTGACAACAATGCAAAATGCCAGCAATGGTGTGAGCTCATACACTAGATTTTTGACTGCGGCACTATCTGCAAATAAGGAAGGATATTGTTTCCTAAAGATGAGGAGAAAGATGGCGATGATGAGGCCAATTGCGAAGGAAGAAGCAACAACTGCCACCACTGAAAATTTGGCCGTTCTTGGATGAGCAGCCCCTAGTTCATTTGACACTCTTACACTGCAAGGTATATTTTTTCATTTGTATGTGAACCCAATATTGGCATTTATGATATTGTTATGAATGACATTTTATAAGGAAAATGTTACAACAAAAAGGCAAATTCTCTTAATTCCTTTAAATTACATGTTCACTAACCTTACTGCTGCATTGAATCCAAAAGCTGCCATGGATGTCCATCCCACTATGTTCGTGCTACAAAATTGAATAGTTTGTTCATTCTAAAAATTTGTGATTAAGAACAAAGATAATATGGCTATTACTTTTATGTGACTTTGATACAAGAATACGAAAAGACACTCACCATACTGATAAAGCATCGACAGAAACTTCTGCATTCTTCAAATATCCGGCAAACAGAACTAAAGACATGAAATACCAGGCTTCTAAGCTGTAAACATGAATAAAAACGTAAATAAAACTAAATAATTCAAGAAAGAAAAGACAAAAAGTATAGTTATTATGTTTATATAAATTCAGTCTAATTCGAGAAAAAAATTAGCGATGTGCCTCCACCAATAAAATGGCTTGATGTAAAGCTTAACTAAAAATGAAAAACTCCTTTTAAGCATGTAAATTTGTTAAATTTACTTACCATATCATAACTGCTGATTCAAGGGATAACCTAACAAAACTCCATAAATTTTGAAAAGCCTTTAATGAAAATCCAGACCAAGCTCTGCCACAGCTCCCCATGAATATATAAACCAGCTGCGCCAACACTATCAGCCACCACGATGTGTTCAGCACCACCGCCGCCCCCACCAAGCCCCACCTCAACTTGAGCATCAACAACCAGCTGAACAGTGTATGCAGAACCAACATTATGGCGGAAATCCACGCCATGGCCATCATTTTGCTCTGTGATTGCAAGAATTTGGCTGTTGGAAAATTCAGTGCATATGCATAGAGTTGAGGGATCATCCAAATTGCCATTTGTCCGGCAGCCTGTGCAATATCCGGCTTCTGGCCGATCAACAAGAGAAGTGGGGTGGCGAAAATGTAGAAGAACATTAGTAAAAAAGCAGTTGCGGAGAGGATAATCCATGATCTTTGCATGTAAACTCCAAGCATGTCTATTTGTCCAGCCCCGAATGCTTGTCCACATAGTGTTTCCAGTGCACTTCCCATTCCCAACTGTTTAAACATTCATTCAAAGCATGTAAAAAATGAACTCAGCAGTACAAACCATCCCTGAAGGAACTTGGGGATCAAAGACAAGAAAGTAAATTGATTAGCCTGAAACAACAATGATTACTTAATATTGCTATAAATTCGTTTTAATTTGCATCAAATAAATAACTACAAAAAAGGTTTAAAATATAAAGAAGTTTCGTAGAGCCCTTGACTATGTTATCATAGATCCGAACAACTTGCCCTAAATTGGCTCAAAGACGGCACTTACCATAAATTCGTATCTTACTTGGAGAGCTTGCAGATATGTTCGATCGTTGTGGCCAGCTTTTTTGATAGTATAGTTGATAATTAAATTTAAAAACAAAAAACTTTAAGTCGGAATCCAAAATCTTAAAAAAATCATAGTGACACAATCCTTTAAAAACTAAGAAAATAACTTCTAGTAAGCTACTGAACTTTAACATCTTATGTGGCTTGCTAACAAGTTTTTAGATAAGGTGGATAAATATACCATGACTCTGAAATAAAAACCGCTAAGAAGGGGTGGAGCCACAAAAGCATATCAGGGAGGGCCAAAATTTAATTATTATTAATATTTTTTCAAAATTAATGCCATAATAGATGCTCTACGCCACATGAGATTTAGTCTTTGTTTGGTGAGAACTAAAATCGATTTTGATAAAAGTTGATAAAATATGTGGTTAAAATTAATTTAAAATTTTAGATTTTACCAAACATGGGCTTAGTTTTAAATGTTAAACTCATGATAATCATTACAAGTGGATTGGATACTCAAGTAAGTACAAAGTTAGATTTCAACCATAAGATGTTATATTACATCTTCGTAGCTTTTCTTGTCATGAAAATCGACTCATCCCTAGAAATTATAAAGTGGCGGAAGCATGAGCAAATGATATATACCCATCAATAAAAAATTAAGAAAATACCTAAAGAGTATTCTTTTGAATCACAAAACCCGAAGAAATTCGATAGCTAGTCATTCTAATGAACTGAAAATTTTGGTCAAAAACACAATAAAAATATGATTGTTCGTCACTTGTCTCGAAATTATTTATTTAATAATGATTGTATGTTACTTATTTTGATGATAACATCTATTTGATGATCAAAATAAATAAATTTTTAACTCATAAGTATAAAATAACATATGAAAAATAACATAGAAACACAAATTTATTTTCTTTTAAGCCTAGTCAAACATGTGACGTCTCATACTGCTAAAATAAGTCACTTATTTTATTTTTATCAGTAAAAATTATTTATTATGTAATAAACCTTTTTAGTTATAAGTGAACCCTTTAAAATTAGTTAAATACATATGAAATGAAATATCTAAATTGATAACTAGTTATTTGTGTAGAATGAATGGGAAATGTTGCCCATGTTTGACCCCATGGGAGGAAATGTGTTTTGTGATTTTTTAGAGAATATATGGTTATAAAATATGATAAAGTTTTGAATTTACGTGTAAAATTATTTTATGAAAGAATGTGTAGTTGAAAATGAGTTTTAGAAAAATGAGTTTTGAAAAATTAGGGCTCAAACATGGGTTAAATATGTAATCGTTGTGAAGTTTTAAACTAAATTTGGATAATTGGACATTGGGCTTGGGTTGGGAATGAAGTTGGTTGGGCTAAAATTAATATTTAGGCTGGAGCAAATACTTTATTTCTTTTTTATTTCATCGTGTATTTAGACTATTTTCTACTCTACTTTGCTTCTGGGCTAGAGCGGTGCTCGGCTTCCGCTTCTGTCATTAAGACGGAGTTTTCAACATGGGAAAATTACCTTAAATCCTACATTTAAAGACTTTATTTCATAAGTCTGGTCTTAATTATTATTATTTTTATAATAATCGGACCTTGATTATGTTTTAATGTAAATATAAAGGTCTGCTAGCACAAAATATCACTAAGGCTATGTTTGGTACCAATTCTTATTTTTAACAGTAAATCAATTCTCATTTTCAACCACACATTTTTCAATAAAATAATATTTTCTATCACATCAATAATCTTATCTTCTTTTTCAACCACACATTTCCCATCATATCACTATTCAAAATCAATTCTTCCCCCAAAAAATCATTTTTCAATAAAATAATATTTTCTATCACATCAATAATCTTATCTTCTTTTTCAATCACACATTTCTCATCATATCATTATTCAAAATCAATTCTTCCCCCAAAAAATCCCTACCAAACACACACTAAGTTTGACCTTTAGTTTGCAAAATGTTCCTACGTTTTAATTTTTTACATTTTTGCCCTTATTTCAACATTTCATTATGGAAAACGTCATTCTTTCCATCTGCTGTGAGTTCCACCTTTAAATGCACACCTAGACTCACTTTGAATTACAAACTCAAAAAGTAAAAAGGTCAGGCCATTTCAAAAAACCAATCTTTTCAAAAAAGAATAGAAGAAAAGAACCAAATGAGGTGAAGTCTTCAAGTTAGGCGAAAAAGTCCAGAAAGTCTTCGCAAAATGAAATCCCTTCGAAGATAACGTCAAGTATTCAACAGCATATCCGTTGCAGGGAAGAGAGCAACCAAAATTTAGACATGTTGAACATGTGGTGAACTAAGACAAAATATGAGGAGCTACAAAGTGACACCACCACTAACAAGCAATTAGGGACAGTTTGTTCGCTTTTTTTGTTTTTGTTGAATGCAGTTGTATTGCCAACCTAAAAAAGTTATTGAATTGTAAATTTATTTTGTTCATGTGCTGAATGATCAACAGTATAACAACCGAAAATCGAAACTTGTGTCTAAAAGTCTCCATTTTGCTTTATTTTAGATGCAAATTTGTTTCACTCTTAATTCTGATGATGGGTTTTTTTTGTTTAGTATATTTTGCTACTGCTTTAAATTTATAGTTTGATCAGTATGTTAAGTTCCCATGGTTGATTAGTGTTTTGAGTTGTTGTGGTTGATTACGATCATTCTGTTGTTGTGAATGAAAGGGATGCTTATAGGATATGCACGGGGATAGTTTTCACAAAAATCTAAAACCCAGGGACTCTATTAGCAAAAAGTTTCAAAATATAGGGACTTTTTACAAAAGAACCTTTGAGACGTTGGGATGTTTTACGCAAAGCCTTTGAACGTTGGGATGTTATACGTAGGGACTTTATTCACAAGTTCAAATTCGAGGAAAAAAACATATCGACATCTTCAGTTTTTTATGCAGAATTTTAGGACTGAGATTTGTGATTTTGGATATCGGTTTGCTGTGGATGGTAATGGGGGATGAAAGCAGGTGTGGAAGCCAAAATTTGATTTTCGAAAATACGTCAGCTATGGTGATGACGAAGATGAACAGTGGACTTCAGTCGTTTTGTTTGATTAATCTTTTTCTTTTTTGAGAATAACCTGTTTGTGGTGGGAAAAAGAATTTTTCGAAATGGTCTAACCATTTTGCCCTTCGAGTTTCAAATTAAAAGTGAGTTCAAGTATGCATTTAATGGTGGAACTCAGAGCAGATGGATGGAATGACGTTTTACACAATGAAACATTGTGGAAAGTCATTGTCCATATATTAGATTACAAAACACTGTTAACTTAGGCATAATTACATACAATCACAATCAAGACGATGTTGATCACATATGCTCAAAGTTAAGACAGATCAGGTCACAGACAGTCATATTTAAGAAAGATCTGGTTATAGACGGGCACACTAAAGATAGACCTAATTACAAACAATAATAACTTACACATATATAATCACAAATAATAACAACTTACACATACTTGATCACAAACTTCCAATGTTATAACATACCTAATTATTAATTACAAATGTTAAAATATACATGGTCACATTTATTAATTACAAGTTATACAATTAACCAGTTACAATCTCTAATTTTCCTTGACACAAACCATACTATTTCTATTAGTCATAAATCACACAATTTCCCTTCATTTTAAGTTTAGAACGTCGCTTGCTAATCTCTTTCTATAAAATAGAAATTTGAGGATTTACTTATCTATTATTGAAAGCTATTGACCAAATATTTTATAGACTAGAAAACGAGGGGCTTCTTTTGCAAAATTGGAGTTAGTGCTCCACTACCTAGCATCCACTTAGACCCATCCCCGCTATGCTCCACTACCCTTTCTTCATTTGATACAAACATAGGCTGAAATTGGGAAGCAGAGAATAGAGAGCAGAAACGGGAAATAACGGAGAAGTGACTACACAATTCATGTGTTCCATTGCTAAAACCGACAAACTGATACAATGCTAATCATAACTTCACCACACCTTCACCGTTTGGCTCCTTTTCAATTTCCCCAGTAATTTCACAAATGAACTCCCAACTTAGTTTCAATTTGCTGCTCCTCATCCACGTTACCGCCCATGGACCCTCCAAATTCATCGGAGTCTACACTACTTATCCGAAAAAGGCGCGGCGTCACACTTTTAAAAAAAATCATCCGTTGCTTGTGTTGCCTTCGACAAGGCCAGCCGTCACAATTCATCTCTCTCGCTCGACAGCTAAAGAAAGAAGAAAAACAGTATAAAGGAAAAACAAAAGAAATTGAAACCTTAGATTTTGGAAAATGACAATAGTGGGGCAATTAAGATCGGGTCTTCCATTCGACGCTATCTCCGCCGCCCAAAGATTCGCCTCAACGAAATCCCTCCAGCCTCTCACCGACACCGAATTATGGTTGATTGGAGTGGGTATGGCCGTATGGGTGTGATAGATGGGGACATTTGTGTAGAGAGATGATTCATCTAGTGAGAGATTACGGTGAAATTGGGTTTCCTAAATTTCATAAATAATAATAATACATTTTATTAAACGTGAAATTATATACTTTTAAGTATTGTAGTCATGCATTTTTCCCCTTCAACAGAGACGACGATGAGCTCAAAAAAGTTGATAAAAAAGTTGTATACAAAAGTGGATAAAAATTTGAATCAAAATAATAATTAATTTTAATTACACATTTTATGATCCCTCAACTTTTATTAACTCTTTCAAATGTACATTTCAATAACTTTCATCGAAATCTACTAAAAATATAATGTTTAACAAAATCAAACGGAGGCTAAAATAGAACCCAAATTTTAACAAACCATACACATAAAAGTCAGACACAATCAAATCACAAGGTAGTTAAACAACCCTTCGAAACAAAGAAAATAACCTTAAGAAAGGTATTGCAGTTAAACTTATTAATTTGCCTACTAACAAATTTGTAAGTCAGGTGATTAGATAAGGTAGTTGAACTTACCATGACTCCTAAAGAAAAACCCGCAATGACAGAGTTTTCGATAGAGACGGCAGCAAGCTCAAGTGTGCCGATATGGCCAGCTAAAGTTTGCGTAATGGCGCCGAGGGAGTATTGGCAAAGGGTAGTGAAAATGGCTGGAGCAGCAAGGTACCAGAGTTTCTTGGACTCAATCCAAAACTGTTCAAAGAAGACTTTAACGCCGGTGATAGGAGGAATGTCATTTTCGTCCGCGGTGAATGATGAAATGGATCTTTGAATTGAATATTGTTCTTCAGTGTCTTCATCCTTCACAGGAGAAATAAGTGGTTGCTTTGGATTGGTATCCATTGCACCTCTCTCACACACAGAGAGAGGATAGGACTCTGGGCAGTAATTTGTGGATGGAAGGTATAATATTTTGGCGTTTATCTATTATTTAAGGGACTTTCTTCAATGTGGCCCTTGGAGAGTGGATAAACCCATTATTTAATTCGTTCACGCGGAATGCAGAACCAGATTTTGATTGGACTATAAAGACAAGGAAAGTTTAATCAGATCTTGTATACAAATATTGCCAAGAAAATAAGAAAAAAGTTAGGACAGGTTCTCTTTGGTGTTTTTGGGCCATTTTCCGTTTTCAAGTTCTCAAAACGGTGAAAATGCGTTCTCTTTTCCATTTTTCAAAATGAATTTTTGAAAACACAAAAACAATTTGTACACAAAATGGACAACAACCCAAAAGTCGTTTTGGCCGTTATTAAGGCCAAAACGCGCAAAACTCAGAAAATACGGGGAACGGCCTCATTTGCTCTTCTTCTATTGTGCGTGAGAGACTCATGAAAACCCCTACCTTCTTCCTCAACAATCGGCCACCCCCGCTACCTAGACCACCAGACACCACTACCATTCGATCCCCCTAACCTCCCTCTTTAACCTCTTGTCATCATTTAGCCATGGAGTTGCAGAAAACAGCCTCAATCACCACCCAAAACCGTGCTACCAATCTCGGTTTCGCCATATTTCCACCGCCGTCGGCCACCGTTTCGATCGTGGACAACCACCAATCCACTCCTCTCAACAGGCGCATCCACTACCACCATGGGTCACCTGTAATTTTGTCCAGAATCGAGTGAGCTTGTGAAATTGCATTCCGACTGATGAATTGAGGTGAGGTTCAATACTCTGCATATACTTCTGCAAGTTAAGATGAAATTGGAATTAGTTATTTGGGGGGTGATTGGAATTGGAATTGGAATCGGTTGTTTATGGCTTTTTCGATTTTGGTTGTGTTGATTNGCCTGTGCCTGTGTCTGTTGCCTGTGGTTTGATTTTGTGGTGTATGTTTTATGGTTTTGGTTTCTGGGGGTGAGTGGAAGGGGGTTCATGTCAATGTTATAGCAAATACAAATAATAGGCAAGATATCCAAGATGAATTTTAATTGGTTTCCTTCTAAACCTTTTTGGGAAACTAGGATCGAGAAATTTGCCTAATCATGTGGCAAGTGTTGTGGAATGAAAGCTGTAACAATTTCTAGTATTACTTTAGCTGAAAATGTTTTTGTATTTTTTGCGAAGAATCGTTTAGGAAGTTCAATATCTGTTCTCAACTTAGCAGAAGTTGTCAATGAGAAAGTTGATGCTTTAAGCATTGGAATGGGTGGTGATAGTTATTTGCAGGTTCTCTGTAGACAATCCTTCCCAAGTCCTCTTACAAGTGGAAGCCTTGGTGTTAAGGAGTTGAACAGATGGATTGATGAGAGGATAATGAATTACAGGAAGGGCGAAATTTTGAGGTTGCTCCTGTCATTGCTTAAGATAGCATGTCCGTATTATGGAAAACCTCCTTTCGGTAGTGATGCAGCATTGAACGTACATTACATATTTGTCCTGTAAATGCAGTTGCAACTACTTGAGGTTACTGACTATAATTATCATCACATTGGATCCATTTATTTTTTTTCAATTGATCCTTCTATACCATTATGCACCTCTTGTGTGACACATTCTTGAGTTCCTGATGGTCAACATAGTGAGATTTTAGAATATCTGAAACAAGTAAAAATCAATTTACCTCTCTTGCATGTAATTTCACAGGTTCCTACTTATGCTAAAGTCCTTAAGGACTTATACAATGTCAAAAGGAAGCACAATGTGAAGAAAATCGCTTTTTTGACTGAGCAAGCGAGCGCTGTGATTGAACAAAGAGTCCAACCAAAATATAATGACTCTGGCTGTCCTACAATTTCTTGCATCATCGGGAATCATGAGTTTGACAAGTTCTTCTTGATTTAGGTGCTAGTGTCAATCTCATGCCTTATGTTATTTACTTGCCGTTAGGTTTGGGTGAGATGAAGCCTGCATCTGTAGCTCTACAATTAGCTGATAGGTCCACTATTAGACCTAGGGGAGTAGTTGATGGTGTCTTGATTCAAATTGATAAATTTTACTACCCCATATATTTCTTGATTTTGGATGTAAAAGTTGACATGAATGTTGATTCTAAAATTCCTATTATTCTTGGTAGACATTTCCTTATTACTGTTAATGCTCTGAGTAATTGTAGGAATATTCTTATGAAACTGTCATTTGGGAATATGACTCTAGAAGTCAACATTTTCCATATCACTAAGCAGTTAGAGGAGGATGACGAGTGTCATCAAACCCACATGATTGAAGCACTCACTCAGGAGGTAGCTGATTCTCTATTTCTTGGACCAGCACATGAAATTCAGAACTGGATGGATTGGACGTCGCCATCAATAAACATCTTGAGATGGAGGATCAAGAGTCAGGTAATAGTTCTTATTTTACATTACCAGTTTCTAACGAGAGGACTTTACCTTTTGTGTTGCAGGCCCCTACTCCTGATTTTAAGCTTTCCTCTAGTCATCTTAAACATGTATTTGATGGAGGCGGAGGACATTACCAATGATTATGTCCAAGGAGCTTAGTTGCACTGTAAAGAAAATTGAAACTACACTTGCTGGATGCGGGCTGAAGGAGGAAACTTTGGGTCGAGCCAACGACAATAAACAAAGGCACTGCTTGGGAGGCAACCCAAGGAGAGTTCGTTCATTTCTTTTGCTGTTTACTTTTGCATTTATATTCTATTTAATTTCTGTCATTTTCTTTGCATTACCAGTCCATTGAGTACTTTCAAGCTTCCTATCATTCAAGTTTATGTTGATTCACTGCATTATTTTTGTGATATCTCTTCATTTGGCTTTCATGTTTAAGCATTGAGGACAATGCAAAATTTTCGTTGGGGGGAGGATTTGTTAGATTTTGTTGTGATTTGGATAAGCATCATGGAGTTTCAATTAAGTTTGGGGGTAGAACATTCGTCATTTTACTGCAATATTTGCATGTTTGTGTGAAAAAAATGTTTACTCCTAACTTTTATCTTTTAGCATGAAATTATAATCATAGTTTTATATGCTTGTGTGGGTTTAATAACTATGTCGGCTATGATATAATTATTGGAATATGTATCAGTTGTGAATGATGAAAATAGTGTAGTATTAGATTAATCTAAATCTATTTATATAAAACTTGACATTCTATATGCACATTACTCATGTTGGCATGTTGAGTTAGGATGCGATTCATTATGTAAAAGGTAGTTGAATGTAGTAACTAAACCCAAGTAATCTAGTGTATTACTCAATAATCCAATTATAGGTTAGTTTGGAGATACTGTTACAGGAAATCATTGAGATAAGTAGGGATTCTGTGTATGAAACTCTTGTGTGGATTATCTAAAACCCAATGAGATGAAAACGAGTTGAAATTTTTAAGTTAGATATTAGTTTTAGAAACTGGATGTCTAAAAGAAAATAGGCATTGTACTAATCTTTGAGTACCTAAAAGCATCTTTTCGAGCTTATATAACTTGGATGATTAAGATTATCATGGTGATTTAAAACTTGGTACCCTATAGTCATCTGATTTGGGAGTAATTGGCTTAAAGTTTGCTACATGGGTTATATAGAAAGTAAATGAAAAGATACTAAAAAAAAATGAAGAAAACATGAAAATGAAAAGAAGAAATACTCAAATACATTGATTACTCCCCAGGCATCTAGTCGACAAAACTACACATTTGATAAGAACCAAGTAATTTAGTCTAGTCTTAAGGGTTAAAGCAATAAAAAATATAGGAGAATCTCAATTTGTTGAAGTGTGAACTTGTAAGAGTTAGGTTTATCCAAACTAAGAGAGCGTAATAATAGATTGAATAAATTCAACTTATGATGCACCCCGAAAAAATTGAGTGAAAAGTATAAGTTTGGGGGGTGTGTATCTCTCGAGCGAGGTAAGGATATATTTGACTACTATGGGTCAGGTGTTGAACCAATCACAATTTTAATATATTAAAATGAGTTTTTACACACACGTCGGGTTATACATGTAATGTGTGGAGATTTATTTAATTTTTACACTGTTGTAATTGTTCAGTTGTTTGATTACCAAATTCCAATTCTAAGACATGGCATATTGTTGAACCATGTTGTACATAGAGTTGAGTTATATTCTTTTGTTTGAAGACAAACAATAGTTCAAGTTTTGGAGAGTTTGATAAGTACGTTTTTACACACATATCTTACTATTAAAACATGGAAATTGTTGATTAATATGTTGGAATATAGTTTAATTCTATGTAATTTATATTTTGCAGGACAAGTGATGAATGTAGCAGAAATAAGGAGAAACAAGTGAAAAATGACCAATCGGATGAACAAATGAGTCAAATGGATGAAATATAGCCAAGATGCGAAATTTTTCCAATTTTCTTATTTGATTGAAACACGTATGAGAACCTAAGTTTTCACCACATTTAAGCCCCCAAAACGTTCCAGAACGCGGACGATTTATCTCCTATTAGTTTTCTGTCAAGTTTGGCTCAGGAACTCCATGGAAGGCTAAAGAAATTGGTGAAGCAAAAGGGGGAACCCAATTGGATATGGTGATTTCACATATATTATTTCATGTAATTGGTCTTTTTTTGCTTAATAATCTTAGGATTTAGACTTTTCTTTTGATGAATTTATATTGAAATCGGTTTAATAATTACTAGATTTTTCATGGATTCAGTCATACTTTTTCCATTGTTTAGGCGAACTATTTATTGAGTTTTAATTTCAATTACTTGTTTTTTAGATTGGTTTAAAATTATTTAATTTTTTATAGATCCAGTCATACTTCTTATATCATTAGATTGAACTAATTGTTGGGTTTTAATCTCAATTTTACTTTATTGACAGATTGATTACTGCCTTATGATTGATCTATATGGTCGATCTTTGATCTTGTTCCAATAAAATTGTGCGAATATGTCATAAGTCTAG